AAGGCTAGTCTTCTCTGCCTATGTTTGATGGAGAGAAGAGGCTTTTTCTTCTTTGTTACTGCCTTGAGATGAGCTGCCTTGAGAACATTCCTCACAGTTTGTGAAGAGACAGGGGTAGTGATGGTGGAATTGATATAATGGGTGGCTTGGACAGCATTATCAGCCTTTCCTGTAGTGATATGTTGGATAATAGCCCTTTTGTCAGTAGAGGTAAGCTTGGATGGACGTCCTCCACAAGAGTTTTCCTTGTCTGGGTGGCTTTCTTTGATGAACTTGGCCACAGTGGACTTGCATATTCCAGTTCTAGAGGAAATTTGGCGAGCAGAGAGGCCAGCATAAGACAGAGAGAGGATATTATCTCTTTGAGCAGAGGAGATGGCTTTCATGGTGATTATGACTATGATACATGAGATATTCTGGTTTATATAGTTAGATATAGTCATAAAATAACATAATGACACCACTTTATAATTTATATAATAGTGGCATGATTTTTATGGTGTCATAAATAATGATTTATATAGTTGTAATATACACTCAAAAAACTGTCCACATGAGTCATCATTTTATAAGCCTTATATCTCCACCATATCTCCGCCGATTCCCACGGTGTAGGGCTCAAATAAAAGCCCTGAAGCCATACTACAATGTGGTATAAGTATGTCCTTGAGGAATTTGTTCATTCTCACACAATATCATAGATAGTGAAAAATGTCAAAACATGCGGACAGTTTTTTGAGCCACTGTATGTATCTGGGCCCACCCATCTATCTAATACATAATTCCCCTCACCCTTGGCCCACCCGTCTATCTAATATTACCCGACGTCGGCCCACCCATCTATGTAGAATTCCCCACGTCGGCCCACCCGTCTATCTAATATGACCCCACGTCGGCCCACCCGTCTATGTAATAAATAATTCCGCTCACCCTCGGCCCACCCGTCTATCTAATATTACCCGACGTCGGCCCCACCCATCTATGTAGAATTCCCCACGTCGGCCCACCCGTCTATCTAATATGACCCCATGTCGGCCCACCCGTCTATGTCATAAATAATTCCGCTCACCCTCGGCCCACCCGTCTATCTGATATTACCCCACGTCGGCCCACCCGTCTATCTAATAAATAACTCACCTCACCCTCAGCCCACCCGTCTATCTAATATTACCCCACATCGGCCAACCCGTCTATGTAATAAATAATTCCCCTCACCCTCGGCCCACCCGTCTATCTGATATTACCCCACGTCGGCCCACCCGTCTATCTAATAAATATTTCACCGCTCCCTCGGCCCATCCGTCTACAAAATAATACTAATACGTTGGCCCACACGTCTATATAATACTATTTGCTATACATCTCTCCTCAGGTCTATAATATATGTCAATCCTACTCTACATATTACCCACATGGGCCCACCCATCTCCATAATAATATTTCTCCCGGCCCATCCGCTATCGTCGATGATATATATAACATCAGCATAGATGGGCCCCACCCGTCTCCATCGGAAATAATATGCCTCCCGGCCCACCCGTCAACATCGGGAATATACATAACATCGGCCCATAATCCGCTGGCCCGTATTACACGGGATATTATGTAGGTCGGGTGACCCGTATAATACGGGATTTGTCACTGAAGGGGCTCAACTTAGGGTTCGGCACGCGAGTTGCTCACGCCAAAGCTTGTTTCCACCAATCACGAGCCAGGACCGAATTACCCTATAGGTTGAATTACTAGCATAGAGAATTATTGGCATCAAAATATCAGTAGAAATCATGCAGACCAAGCAGACCGCTCGAGCGCTCAGGTCCTGACAGCGATCAATGTTCACAAGTAAATTTATATATAAATTATCTAACTGGTGTTTAATCTATGTGTCATGCTTTATCCGAGGCGGAAATCTGAGGCGGAAGTTGGGCGGAAGCAATAAAAATTCACCATTGTTGTGGGTGCATCGGCACCCAGGAAGGCCCTGAGCCTGCCCGGAAGTTCAAAATTCACAAAATTCACAAAATATACAGTGTATTTCTCTTTCTTCCGCACTTTACTCACTTTACCCACTCAAAATCGCACTTTACAGTACTTTACATGTCATACATCCACTCTCTACCTTACCCTCCCTCGGACTCATCCTACACAGTTACCATAAATGGGTGGCTTGATCACATGACTTTACTTTCCTCTGCTCCGAAACTCTCTAGTCACTGCCATGTACAGCGCTGCAGGTGAACACCTCCAACAACAGCACTTCCCCTGGAGAAGGTACTGTTTTATTTTATTTTATTTATTCGTTTGTAGTTCTCACTCATGCTTTACAGGGCCTCAGGACTTCATGTGGCGACAACAATGCTGCACTCCCAGTCACCCAACTTATCGGTTCCATGTGGCAGTAGCTCTGCCCTACTCACCTAGCAACCCTCTTTGGTGTAGCCGAGGGGAAAACTGGTGGAGCCAGCGCTTCATCAACTCCCTCACCATCCCCACATACTTCAACAACTCTCAGAGACAAGCTGCCAAGGACGCAGCTACCATCACCTATGGTCTTAACACAAAAGCCATTGGTGAGCACAATGTCCTCATTTTTTATTCTGGTGGTCCATGAAATCGTCCTTGTTGGTGGTTCCACATCTACCCCCCCATACTGTTAAGCTCATTTCTGACTTCTTCAGCAGCAAGGAGCTCCATGCCACCGTCTTTTCGTGTCTGCTTTCATGACCCAGGGTTCTCCCAGTCACCGTCTTTTTGTGTCTGCTTTCATGACCTAGGGATTTCCCAGTCACCGTCTTTTTGTGTCTGCTTTCATGACCTAGGGTTCTCCCAGTCACCGTCTTTTCGTGTCTGCTTTCACCACCCAGGGTTCTCCAGCTCACCATCTTTTCGTGTCTGCTTTCATGACCTAGGGTTCTTCAGCTCACCATCTTTTCGTGTCTGCTTTTATGACCTAGGGTTCTCCAGGCCACCGTCTTTTCGTGTCTGCTTTCATGTCTTCAGTGGTCAGGTGACTTCGTCTGACCCCTTTCCACCTGACCCCTTTTCGAGCCCTTCCTGTCTTGATCTTCTACCTTCACACTCCAGAATGGGAATCCCAGGGCTATGGGAGGTAAGCCACCAGCTTTGGAGCCACCCTCAGTATTGATGCTTTCTACAGCGAGTTGCTTCGGCTGCCGACAACAGAACACTGAAACAACTTGCAGTGTCTGAGTTGAAGACTGAAGAGATTGACGGTGAACGGAAGGTCAAATTGTTCAAGATTGGAATCAATGCTAGGTACAGTACTTGTCTTTTTCACCCATCAGCCAAACTGACTTCTGTTGACAGCGCTTGGATGCACAGCGTGTGTGCTGTCTTTCAGTTCAACCATGCAGGAGCTGAAAATCGCCAGAGCTGCGAACACTGTTCTTTCGGCTGGGCACACTGCTCAAGCTACCCCTGCACGTGGGTCTTTGTGTTCGATGGCTTGAAACGCCTCCCAGAAAAGGGCTGCATGGTCCGAAACAGCCCCCACTGGCTCACTTGCGACTTCCAGCACATGCTGGAGCTATTCGGCTTTCAGTGGACTGAGGTACGCTTTGCAGCATAGCTCACTTTGTGACTTGTCTCACTAGTATACAGGCCCCTGGTGAAGCCGAAGCCGAGCTGGCCGCAATGAATGCCCATGGTGTCATTGATGCTGCGATGACCGAAGATAGCGACATATTGATCTTTGGAGCTCCATGCATCATCAGGAGGTGCGTCATTGTTTTCATGTAGAGGTATTTACCATTGATATGTCGTGCTGTTAGCGCAAAAAAGGACAAAGACTACCTTAATGTCGAGGTGTATACAGAAGACGGTCTTGAGCATGGTGCCTCTTTGGCCTGAGGAGATAGGTTACTAATCGCCCTGCTAGCAGGTGGAGATTATGATGAAGGAGTGTCTGGTTGCGGCATCAAGATCGCACACAAGGTTGCGCAGCACAGCAAAATCGGACAGGAGATGCTGCATGCGTTCCTCTCACTGGCACCAGAGCTGTTCTCTGAGCGGGCCAAGGAACTTGTCATGGATTTACGCTCTATGCTTGCAACTGACCCTTACCATTTCCTTGGACGCCGGTACAAGGCTGTTGCAGATTCTATCCCACTCGAGTTTCCCCGATGTGAGGTGATCAGCAAGTACGTCGACCCCATCACGTCTTTTTTCAGCCACCACAAGCGGCGCGCTTGCAGCACAGGATGTGTTGTCCTGCCAGCCACACCTCGCAGATATTGCAGACTTCTGCAGGGTGCAATTTGGATGGGATAATGACGCCATCATTGAGAGGATGTATGGGGGCATATGGGAGGGCGCCTACCTCCGCACCTTATGCAAGGTAAGGATCACCTTGTTCGTTGACAACCGCTAACCAGTCTTTTAGTTGCCACAACACTCGGACCAAGCACATGCTCGACCAACATTCAAAGTCATTTCTCAGTCCACTATTATGGCATTGCGGTGCGACATCGAAGTCTATAACATTAAAGTCAATTGTCAGCGCTTGGCACGTAGCACTCTGGGAAACACCGCTCCCAGCCAATTATCTGCAATGTTTGTACACATTCCGACGGTGATACTTAGACATATGGCACCAGACGCAGCTCACCAGTATATTTGTCTGTAGTCTGTATGATAGAAACAACCATGCGCATAATGAATAACATTGAACCGTATCACTCCTGCAAACTGAATTGTGTGAAATACGAAATGACATTAAAGTAGTTAGAGGCCCCTGACATGCATGATCCCTGCTCCGAAATTGCAAACTATTTCCTGGAAATAGCTCCAACAACCACTCACTTGTTCATTTTCGAAAATCATGGTGCGACTGAGCAAGAGTTCAGCGAAAGCCCCCCAGTCACCGAATTGTACTCAAAAGAAGGCGGCACGGAAGAAAGGATCGGCTACCCCAAAAGCGGCCTTAGCAGACGTCCAGAAGTGTAAGGACCTTGGGATAGAAACTCACCTACAGGCCAAACAACACCAGGGCCAACTATGCTGGTCACGTTCGGCGAGGACGACAGTGGCTGGCAAGTTACTTCAAAACACCAGCCGTTAGCGAATCGGAGAGACGTGACATTGCATCAGACGACTTACTCATTCCAATGCCGTCATCACCTGCAAGTTTTGACATGCACAGCGACAATGATGCGCATGATGACCCTGCCTTCAAAGATGTGTTTGACCGGATACCGAACAGATGCTCACACAAAGCACTTGCACTTTTCATGTCCCTGAAAGGGTTCCATGAGAATCTAAGTAAAACTACCGTTGAGAGCATCCATTCAGCATTTAAGAAGATGTGGGACCTGTCGTGGGTGTCGCATTCATGATTCAGAAAAGTACTCAAACACTGACCTGCTCATTCCAGGGATGGTGACACCTATCGCGGCAAATGGCACTTTGATGAGGCGAGATGGCGTTGGGAAGGAAACCCTGCTGATTCTGCAGATGTTTACGACGTGCTGTCGTCCATCAAGCATAAGGCTAGTGCGGAGGGGCGGAGATCGCACTCACTCGATGGCAATGACAAAGGATTACATGGATCGAGTGCTCCGATGGCATCAGGCTGCGTGTCCACTGGAGATTGCCCTACGCATGATTGAGAAAACAATGAGCGGTGCTCAGCCTTCAGATCTGCATCTGGACTTGAAACAAGGAAACAACTCACCCAACATCTTGAACAGATCGCACTTGCGGCCAGTGGATGGACACTATGGACAAGGTGCGACTTGTCAATGTGACTCAGAGTGCATGATCTGACTTACCATATCCACAGGTGTTTCGAGCTCATTAAGTTGCAGCGAAAGGACATCACGCTTGATGTGACGATGTTGGACGGTGTGCTGAAATCATACCTCGCAAATGAGACGCTGACTATGAGTGACCGTGCATCTGACTTTGAGATCTTCCTCTCAAACCGGAAGGGATGGCAAAAGAAAGTCGACAAGGGCCAGTGGGAAGTAGATCTGAGGTGTAAGTTGTGTGCATCAATTCAAAGCCAGCAGCACATGACTAAACGATATCACCAGCAAATCACTACAAGATATATCCGCGTCCTGAGATGCTGGCCTGCGACAATTTCTTTCTGGATGTTAGTGTGGATCAAGTGGCTTGAATTTTTTCACTATGGATGGACCCTTCACCCAAACGACTTCCTATTCCCTGTGATGGGTGCAAACAGTGTTGTCCACCCCGGACAGCCAATCTCTCACGATACTGTACAAAAATGGATCAATGAGTCAACTGCCGGTGCTGGCATCCTTGGTAACTTCTCAACTCACTGCTTTCGTTGTGGAGGCGCACAGTACTGGTTTATGTTCGCTCCTGTAGGCCAACGATGGACACTTGCTAAAGTCCGCTGGTGGGGTGGATGGGCTGATGGGGAGCATGTATGTGCTTCATGTTCTTAAGACTGACATTTGACTGACACATTTTTTATATCTGTTTTCTTTTAACTCAAAGCGTGATACACTTGTTTGCTACCTCCTCGATGAACTACATGCATATGAAACTGACTACAGTGATGCTCTTGCCCCCATCTCCCATGGTGCCGATGTCTCCCTCGCCGGTGAACACGCTCTTGCAAGGCCGGTGGTCCACTGAAGAACTTCGCGTGGTCCATGCAATCCGTCGCAGCAGACGTCAATGGCCTGTGCAATGACATGCAGTTCGGTCAATAACTCATTGCGCTTCGCCTAACAAACGTAGTTGTGCAGGCTGCCTGCACCACAGCAATCGCTCTACAGCATCCTGATTCCTCACGATCTCTGGTTGTATCTGACTCGCCTGCACAGAAACTCTGAGTCCATCTTATGCTCCACCTGTTGGAGGAGTGAGTATCACAGCTGTCAGTGCGCAGCCGCTCATACTATCTTGGCCTGTTGCCAGCAAAATCGCTACCCCTCACATTCCACCATGTCAAGGGCGTCATCACCATCAGCCCGCATCACTTCCACGGCAACTCCCTACACCTGGCCTGTGATTCCGCGAGTGCCCGTCTTGCATCCAAACGGCACTACCAACCCAAAGACCAAGTCCTGGAAGGACATTGTCACACATTGGCTTGTCAGTGATCCTGACCAAGGACTGACAACACCGCTCAGGATTGGCCAAGGGAGTGGTACCAAGGTGCCAATCGACAGTTTGCATCAAAGTATCACCAGAGGGCAACCATCACATTGGAATTCATCAATCAGTAAGTCAATGCTGATGCTCGCTCTGCTGGCACGCTCACTCTTTGTTTTGGCTCCAGGTATGACTCAAACGAGGCACGCTTCCTCGCAGCTTATCCGGAGGCTGAACTGGGGCACACACAATTGTTAAAGGCCATGAACAAAGCGCGCACTGCAGGGAACGTGTCTCTCACACCAAGTGACCTTGAGCGATGTCCTTCCCTCACTTTTACATTCCATACTACACTACTGTCTCTACCTTACTACCTGCTTGTTCGGCCACTAATTCATGTCTGCTTCTTGTACCATTTGACAAGAAACATCGA